TATGGGTTCCAAGACTTCTGGCTAATGTGACATCTCTAAAGGAAAAATCCATAGTAGTTCTGTATTTCACAAACCAAGGCAGGGGAGGAATTAATTTGTTAATCTTCTGAATGCCCTTTTTATACTTTTTGTTAAGGTAAATAAATACATAATAATAAGGTTGGGGTGTGCCATATGTAATACATTTGCCAATCACCCTTTAATAGCCCATGTTTTGCAAGTATAGGCTTAAATCTAAAATAAAATATTGATAAAAAAGAACTTACATTAGTTGACAATTAAAGGTATGAAAACTAATAAAAGTAATTAAGTAAAATAACTACACTAAATTGGAATCTACTTAGGGGAAAAATTTGGTTATGAATGGTCTGGTCAGAGTTTTTGTCTCTTTCATTAAATCAGATTAACTTATTTTATGTATCCTGAATACATAGTGTATCTAGTATAGGGGATGCACAGCTTTGGGTATGTCTAGGAAAGAAATTAGTTTGAAATTGGTAGAAAGAAATTACATTTTTTTAGGATTATTTCTCAGGAAATGTGGGCAATTAAGTTTTTTTTAAAAAAAATATGAATAGAGAAGATCCTACCAATAAAATGCTTCATGTGTCATAATCTTAATTTCTATTACTGTCTATTTGAAATGCAGCTTTCAGAAACATTGATTACGTTTAGGATAGTAGTTTTCAGATCTCTGTATGTTAACACGTGTGTCAGGTATTGGGGTTTTCTTAAAGGGTATCTTTCAGTGCTAAAAAACATTTCCAACCACAATCCCTTTGTTTTTATTGCCTTACATTTTAAATGCTGTTTTTTCAACATTTTTTTTTCTGAGGCTGTTCCTCCCCCCTTCTATGTAATAGTACTTTAAATTGTTTCTCCCTTTGATACCAGTAAGCCTCACAGGAATTTAAATAGACCCCACTGAAAGTAATACTTGAGCCTCATTCATGTGTTCAAGTTAGATCATTATTCCTATTAATGACTTTAAGTGCTTAGATAGTGGATCAGCATTTCATGTCTTGAATTGCTTGTCATTTTCTGCATAAATACGTGTTTCAATAAATTGCTTCACACGATCTCATACCTCGCTTTCTTCCAGACCAGAAAGTAGCATAATCCTTTCTTGATTTGTTGGAAGTTGGAAAAGAAAGCTTTTTTAAAAATTTTAACAAAAACAAAGTGTATATACAGTTTCTGGAAATAAGCTGCAAAACTGGGCATGTGTGATAGCCTTGTGAAAGTGAATTTTTCAATTGAATCTGGATCCACTGGAAATATGCTGGTAACTTTTTCTTCTTGTACCTTGGTTCAAATGGTCATCATTGCCCATAAAGAATAATATAAGACTATTACATTTGTTGGAGAAAAGGTACACTGTTTGATTACTAGCATAGTAGTCACAGAACCATCTGTTATCCTCATCTTATCAGTTCAAATTTGATTATCATAGAAATGCATTGAATTACCAAACCAGAGCAATACTAACTAAAACTGATTCATTGTTATTGCTATCAGTTAAATGAAGACTGACTTATAAGACAGATAATGGGATAGAGTTATGCAACTGTTGTTACGAGAAGAAAAATATGTGGTGACCATTACAGTGCAGGTGATAAAATGGATGTGGATTTTATTTTCATGCTTTGTGTAATAGCCTTACGTTTTTTTTTATAACACACCAAACCAGTATACATTTACATAATGTTCAATGTATTCCTATAGTGGGCGAAAACTAATTTAATACAAGGGCAAGCCTGACAGCAAGAAAAAAGGAAATTCTCACTGAAGGGTTCCATCACCAACTTTAATTTTGACCCCAGCAATTTTTCTTGGCCTTTTGATACTTGTTGACTTTTCAACTTTCATGCTTCTTCATTCCACGTATGTATAGTACAATATTCAGGTGCTTGAAATATAAACTCTACCTACTCTGAGAACATGAGAAGATTGATCAAAAAGGAAGAGTTTCCAGCAATTCCCTGAAGAGTGATGGAGCATAGTTCCCCCTGCCCATTACTGCAGTAGGAAAGGTGGGAAAGAATATAAGAGAGTCCCCTGTTCCCTTGTGTACTCCATGCCCATCATCAAGATGAAAATGCAACGTACTTTTTCGTTCATTTAAAAAAAATCAGTGCATTGCATTGCATGGATTGATAAATTGTGTGCATTACTATAAAAACCAAAAAAGTTAGGTCAGTATATTTCAAATGCATGTTTAAAAGCAAGAGGGGGGAAACAGTTGTAAGAGAATAAGCTTGTAACCTAACTTTTTCAACAGATATTTATTTATATAAAAAGTGCTATTTATTTACTATATTTAGATTATTGCACAGAAAAGTCACTTGAATGGATAGGCTATTTTATCATGCCTTTTTTTTTCTCTTTCATTTTAATTTCTGGTGCTGTGGAAATGTATTACTTTTAACTAATTTATCCCTTTGATGAGTATTTATATAAATTGCTATGCTGTACTTCTGTTCAGTTGGATGCATATTCAATTTATTTTTAATAATACATATTAATATAGTAGTTCACACTATCAAGCATTATTCCTTTGAGTTAAATTAGTGTAATTGGACTCCTTAGTATATAATTCTGTGGTATCGGTTCTTTGGTATTCCATAGAATATTAAGTCCAAAAATAGGTAATTTCAGTGCTATTTAAGACAATGTGTATCTATAAATTAGTTTCCTTGAGGTGAAAATTGGGACTAAAAGACAAACTCTAATTTCCGTATTAATAGTGTACAGGATAGCACACTGGGATTCAAAGCCTAGATTCTGAATATTGTGAGGTTTGGGGGGGAAAAGGTTCAGTGTGCCATCTAGTGGATATATTCGAATTGATCAGCAGAAAAACCCAACGTATTTCTAGCATGAAACCAGTCTTTAAATAAAACGTTCACTAGCAAGTTGGTAAATTAATTTTAAATGAGAAACTGTAGCTTTATTTAATATGATCTCTCTGTAGGTAGACATTTTAGGACAAAAGTAGCTTGGGACAAAACTTCCCCAGACATTGGAGACGTTCAGATCCTAATTCCAACATGGTGGCTCAGTCCCCTTTTTACATGGATGAGAAGGTATAATATGCTTAGCTATGGTATGTGTGGATAGTCGTGAAGTCATCAGATGACAACAAATTATTCTAAAATATTTCAAAGCTGGCTTTCCTTTATTAATGTTTGTATCATTATGAATTATGGTCCTAGGTAAAAATAAATGAGTTTTTAGTCTATAATCCTTAGTGATTAAATATCATCTGAACTTTCTATTAAGAGTCTGTTATGCCTAATTTTTATTACAATGTTTTCTAACGTAAACATTGTAACACTCTTTTCTGTAGAAAAATCCAAGACCAGTGACTTACCAGTTCCAGCAAAATTTAGATTATTACAAAGCGCGTGGAGCAGACCTGATGAATAAAACCCGGTAAGACACTTTCATATATGTTGTAGTTTAACTGATATCTTACCCGAATAATAGTGAATATTTTACAGGTTGTTTTGATCCAAAATAGGAATTACGCAAGCAGTATATAGAACACAAATAAATGCTTTAGTATTTTAGAAATGTAGGGCTGAAGTGACCTCAAATCTTCACCTGTTCCAGCACTCTGTGTTGAGGCAAGACCATGTATACCTAGACTGTCACAGATGGATGTTTCTATTCTGTTCTAAAAAGTCTCTTGTGACAAGGATTCCAGAACCTCCCTGGAAAGACTATTCTCTCTTTCTCTCGTGTGTGTGTGTGTGTGTGTGTGTGTGTGGTTTATTCATAATATCTACCTAAATCTCTCTCACTGCAAATTAAGCCCATTGCTACTTGTCCTACAGGAACAAACATGGAAAATAATTAATCACTATCCTTGTAACAGCCCCAAACATATGTGAAGATTGATACCAGGTCCGCCCACATCAGCCTTCGCTCAGGATTCAACAGGCCTAATGTTTTTAAACTTTCCTCATAGGTCAGGTTTTCTAAATCTTTTATCATTTGTGTTGCTCTTTTCCGGACTCTTCCTAGTTTCTCCAAATTGTTCTTATATGTGGCTTCTGGAACTGCACAGTACTGCATCTGAGGCCTCACCGAGTTTTTAGTAGAGGGGTAGAATTACCTCCCATCTTACATATAACACTTTTGTTAATATACTCCAGAATGATGTTCTCTTTCTTTGCAGCTGCTTCACATTGTTAACTCATGTGATTTGTGTGTATAACCCCCGGACTCTTTTCAGTAGAATTGTTGCCTAGCCAGTTACTCCTCATTTTGTAGTTGTGCATTTGATATTTTTCTTCATTAGTATAGTATTTTCCACTTGTCTTTATTAATGATGTGAAATTAACTTTTGAATCTTCTCTCCATCATTTTATAACAATAGTGTTATATTTTAGCTTGCTCAATGTGTGTCTCAGGTGAGATTCTTATCTACACTTGCATGAGCTTAAAACTGATTTAGTTAAAGTCGTGCAAACCAAGAATGTCCAAGAATGTCCAAGAATGTGTGGACATTCTTCAGTCTATCACAGGTTCTAACAATTTATCTTACTTTTAAAGAGATTGAAGAATTCCCACACCGTGGTTGCTAAAACAGTTTTAAAACATATCTGTGGTTAAACCAGAGATTCAAATCCCATTATATTAGGCACTATACAGTAATATAACTTAAAGATAGTTTATGCCTGAAACCACTTAAAATCTAAGTATAAGAACCCAGTTTCCAAACAATCACCATTCAAAGGCAAAAAGGCCAAATCCTGCATGCCTTGCTCATGCTTTTATTTCATTGAAGTCAATGGGTCTACTTCTTCAAGTGGTGTCCCTGTGGGTGCTCCACTTCAGCTGCTGGTGCATCTTCATGCCAGTGATCGGAGACTTTTCATACCAGTGGCTGGCTATGTATCCCAGGCAATGGACACCATGGGACCTGTGGTCCTCCTAAAGCAGTGTTTCTTAAGTTATGTTCCACGGAACACTGGTGTTCCATGAACAATTTGCAGGTGTGCTGCGACTTCTTTGTTTTCATTACTGCTTTGTTTTTGTCTTTTTTTTTTTTTTGTCTGACAATTTTTTTTTTTTTTTTTAAGAAAATGTTCATAGGTATTCTGCATAAAAAAATATTATCGTTTGGTGTTCCGTGGTCTCAGAAAGTTTAAGAAACACTGTCCTAAAGGCACCACTATACTGCACCATCTACACCATCCAGAGCAATCGGTCCCAAGTCATGTAGTTGATACTGAAGGGCAAAGAACTTCCTGAAGAGGAAGATCCTGAGCCTACTGATGAGGAGCAAAGGTTCTTTCTCCATAGCTCTTCTTCTTGACAAGATGAGGCAGTTATACCAACTGCCCATTCCCACACTGATGACCTGAAACAGTTTTAGGAGCTCGTTAAAAGGCTGCCTGTAGCCCAGGAAATTGACCTTCAGGAAATTCAGAAGAAACCACACACACTCCTGAGGATCCTACAGTCTCTGCCACCACAAAGATTGCCTTGCCTATGTATGAAGACATTTTACAGCAAGCTGATACACTTTGGCAAACGCTGGCATCAGTAACTACCACAAATAAAAGAAAGTACTTTGAACTAGGGATGTTTAGATATTGTTTAATTGAATAATCATGTAACGGCACAAAAATTATCAGATACATGATTATTTGATAGTTCTGGGGGGCAGGGCCAGCAGCCAATGCACTCCTGACCCCATTCCTGGGGAGTCCCCTGCTACCTCACGCAGCAACGCAGGTTGGTTGGCAAGAACTGGCTCCCCGCACAAAGAGGTTCCCTGCAGACAGAGGCTGCTCCACTATCCTACAGAGCAGTCTCTGTCCACAGCTCCATGAAGCTGGTGTTCATGGGGAGTCAGCTTTTAAGCCAGCTCTCCCAAAGCGCCAGCTCCCACCTGCTCCTTCCCCCGCCTCTGTGGGAGGCAGCAGCTCAGGGGAGCAGGCTGCTCTGTGTGAGCCGATATGCATAGGGAACTGGCTTAAAAGTTGGCTTCCCATGTGTACTGGGTTCCATCTGCCCTCCTCATCTTCCATGCTACTATCTCTGTATCAGAGGCAGCAGCATGCAGGAGGGGGACACCAGTTCCTGCCTCCCTCCCCCTTGCTGCCTCTTATACAGAGGCAGAAAGGGGGGAGTGCATGTAGCTGTTAGGATCAACTGGTAAGCTTAGGCTTATCAATTAGTCATTTACATGACTATACACTAACATCCCTACTTTATATCAGCCAAAGACATGGACTTTTTATTTTCCCATCCACAGCTGAGCTCCCTTATTGAGGATGCTGTTCACCATCAAGCCAAATATCCACAATTCCGTTCTACTCCTTATGATAAAGATCATAAATATCTTGATCTATTCAAATGGAAAGTATTCTTCCTCCACTTTCCACCTTCTTGTAGCTAACTGTTCTACATTATTATCAGACTATGACCACACTAATTACTCTAAGCTCCAAGATCTTCTCGAGCATCTTCCTGAGTAGAAGCATTCACAACTCCAGGCAATAATACAGGAGAGAGGAGAGAGAGACAATCTCACGTACAGCCCCCCAAGCCACCTTAGATGTGGCAAATACAGCAGCATGTAGAACAGTTATCCCTGTGGTCATGAGAAGGGTTTCCTAGCAACAAGCCTCAGGTATTCTCAAGGAGCTACAAATGAAGGCTGAGGATCTCCCCTTCAACAAAACTCACCTATTTGCTTCCAAAATGGATGAAGTCTTACACACTATGAAAGACTCACTACACTGAGAACCCTTGGGATCTATACCCCACCAAATAAATGGACAAGGTATACTCCGTACCCTAGATCCAGAGACAACTATACACATCAGAGACACTTTGACTCTAGGCAAAAACAACAGCCTTAAAGACGTGCACCACAGCACCCATAGGCACTATGTCTCAACCATCTACATCTAAGGAGCAATTTTGAAAGATTTGTCCGAGGTATGAGCAACCTCTCCCCAGTGCCAGAAGCAACATCATCACCCAACCTTCAGTTTGCACATTGTCTACAGCCCTTTTTCCACTGAATGGGCCAGTATAACATCAGATCTATGGAGATTGTCCGGTCTGGCTATTCCGTCCCTTTTACATCCATTCCTTCTACCCATTCCTCTTCAGGGACCCTTCCCACAAGAACCTCTTACACTTGGATGTGCAACATCTGTCACAGATATAAGCAGAGGAGGTAGTTCCACCTCCTTACCAAGGAAGAGGCTTTTATTCCAAATTTTTCCTTATGCAAAAGAAAATGGGGTTGGAGACTGATACTTATATACATCAAAGGTTCAAAATGGTTATGCTTGCCATAATCAGACCGGCACTAGAAAGGGGAGACTGTTCTCTGCCCTCAGCCTCCAGGATGTATATTTTCATATAGTGACCCATCGAGCACACAGATGTTTTCTGCACTTCATGATTGACAGAGAGCACTACCAGTACCAAGTTCTTCCATTCGATTTATTTAGAGCTCCAGGAGTCTTCTCCAAGATGTTGGCAATGGTCTCAGCATAACTCCATCGTCGGGGGGTAATAATATTCCTCTATTTGGACATTTGCCTAATCAAGAGCGCCAATTACAGAGACACATCAGACATGGTGCACATTATAATCACACTATTTCAGCACCTGGGCTCCACATCTACTTTCAGAAGTCAATACTGGAACCAGCTCACACCCGTGAGTTTATATGAGCTCTACTAGACTCTACACATGCCAGGGCAAAGTTGCCCCAATACAAACTCAACACACTTATCTCTCTTATCAATGCTGTCCAACTCAGCCCTTACACTAGAGTAAGGACACGCCTCCAAATTCTTTTCCAGGCTACAGATGCACTGCCTTTAGGCCTGGCTTGCCACTGGATATGTTCCTTGCTGAGATGCACTGCACAAAGGGGTATCGATTCTATAGTATGTTCTTTCTTCCCCACATTGGTGGACACAACATCAAAATATCCTCCAAGGGGTTCCATTCCATCAGTTCACTCCAACTTCTGTCATAACCATGGATGCCTCCCTCCTTGATTGGGGAGCTCATCTAGGAAGTGACATGATTCAGGTGAAATGGTCTCCCTAAGAATCTGCACTACATATCAACATATTAGAGCACAGGGTGGTGCTCAGTGCCTTCCAGCACTTCCTCTTTCTTATATGCAACAGAACGATCTAGATCCTCATAGACATCACCACCTGTATGTATTACATCCATCAACAAGGCAGACCGTGGTCAAATTCCCTCTGTGAGGAGGCAGTAACATTATGGAATTGGTGCATCTTCCAACCTGTTCCCTCAACACCGCAGCAGACACTCTCAACCATCTCTTTTCCAGTCAGCATGAGTAGGAAATAGACACTACAGTTCTTCACAAGATCTTTCACAGTTGGGGACATCCTGAAATCAATCTGTTTTCAAATTGC